TTCCATTTGCTTTAGCATCTCTACAGTGGAGAGCAAGTTTCAGTATCTTTTCTGACATCCATTTTGACCTTTTCCTTCTTTCTTGTCTTCTTAATGACTTTTTTTGCTTTCTTTCTGTATGATGTTCTTGATGTCATCCCACAATTCTTCTGGTCTTCGATCTTTAGTGTTTAATGTATCAAATCTGTCCTCCAGATAATCTCTAAATTCAGGTGGGATATATTCAAGGTCATATTTTGGCTCTCGTGGACTTGTTTTCATTTTCTTCAGCTTCAGTAGGTGTTTCATCGAAAATTACAAACCACCCTGGCACTTCCTATTCCCTATTCCCACTTTATTTTTCTCCAGAGCACTTATCACTACTCAGTGTTTGCTGTATTTTACTTAACAGATTTGTTTTCTGCCTTCTCCATTAGCTTGTAAGCTCCACGAGAGAAGGGCCTTTTATTAAGTTTGTTCCTGTTTATCTCCAGCACCTAGAACAAGGCATAGAACTCTGACAATATTTTATGAGTGGATGAAACAAAGTTTCATAAATATTTGAAGAATGACTAATGAACACATGAACTGATACAAGGGCATGACTTCGCCCCTCCCCAGCCCCATTCTTTCCAAAGACCCAGTTTGCTGGGCTCACTGCCCTTGCCACTCTTACCCAAGACCCCAGCACCAACTCTGACCCATTTTTCCCTCTTGTTCCAGGTGTCAAATGTGGAGGTGTACTCTCAGCACCTTCTGGAAACTTCTCCAGCCCAAACTTCCCCAGGCTTTACCCCTATGATACAGAGTGCAGCTGGCTGATCGTGGTGGCTGAGGGCTCCTCTGTGCTGCTCACCTTCCATGCCTTCGACCTGGAGTATCACGACACCTGCAGTTTTGACTTCCTGGAGATCTACAATGGGGCCTCCGGAGACAAGGGCAACCTTCTGGGGAGGTTTTGTGGCCAGGTTCCCCCACCACCATTCTCCTCCTCGTGGCATGTCATGTCTGTCGTCTTCCACTCGGACAAGCATGTGGCCAGCCGTGGCTTTTCTGCAGGCTACCAGAAAGGTCAAGAAAGGACTTGTCAGTGGAGAGGGTGGCCCTTGGTGGAGGTGGGGAGGGCAGCAGGCTCTGGCTAGACTTACACAGTCTCAGCATCTTGGCATGTTAGGCTGCTCTGTAACCAGGATGATCCTGCTCTCGTAGTTTACTTTCATAACCACATCTTGGTAGTTGTGGGTTCCGAGCTTCATGGCGGTACACTAGATCTCCCGTCAGTATTCCTGGAGCCCCAGAGAGTCTCACTGTGCTCAGAAACAGCACTCTTGTGCTATTCTGCCTTTGTTCTTCTTATCCCGTGTCATGACATCAGAGCCACTGGAAAGTCACCACCCTGTTACTGCTGTTGATTCTTTCCGAGGTACCTCACTACTTCCCAGGCTCTGCAGTTTCCCCTCCTCCTCACAAGTCCTCAGGAGTGGAGGTACATGAGGGGCTGAGTGGGGCTGGTGGTCCTCTTCATCTTAAGGCCTTCCCTGAATACACCTCTTTTATTGTAGGTCCCTAAGCCCTCTGTTTGTCCCGGCTGAAAATCTGCCCTAAATCCAGATTGGGAACAGAATTTACCCTTTTTACTTATTCCTCCTTGTCCCCAGGTTTCTGTGCACAAACCTAAGCCTTTTCCCTTCTCCCTACATAGAAACCAAAGGCCCTATTCAGGTCAACTAAAGCAGATAAACAATTGCAGAGTCTCCTGGTTTTACAGAGCCCACCAGCAATAATCCAGGAGTACTCAGATGAAACATTGAGTCCCTGATATATTTGTAACCATCTATTTGAGTAGGTGTTGATTCATGGTGATTCCATATGTGTCAGAGTAGCACTGTGATCTGTAGCGTTTTTTAATGGCTAATTTTTCAGAAACAGACTGCCAGATCTTTCTTCTGAGATCCTTCTAGGTGAACTCAAACCTCTAACCTTTTTATAGGCGACACGCACATTAACCATTTGAACTACATCAAATACAAGAACCATAAATAAATTTTATTGTAGTTTTAGAATTTGTTGTTGTTGTTGTTAAGTGCCTTCGAGTCAGTTGTAACTTATAGAGACCCTGTATAGGGTTTCTAAGGAGTAGGTTTAAACCAATGATCTAGCAGTCCAATGCTTATCCTACAGCACCACACCAGGGCTCCTTTGAAATTTTAGACCCTGATATTTTTAGAATGATAGGACATCAAAGTCATAATATCATAGGCAATGTGTTCCAAGTTTTTAAAACAGAGTACCCTTATCTCAGATGGGACAATATGTGAATCCCTGACATATAAAAGAAATTAAGGCAGGGTTTTAGTGGTATGTGTTATTTTGTAAGTTCCTGTTTTTAACATTTACTTATTATAAGACAATCACTCTGAAACTTGCTCTAGAGCATATAAAAACTAAAGCAAATGAAAAAAATGAACAAGTAAAAGAGCTGAACAGAAAATTTCAAAGGGCAGCTTGAAAAGACAAAGTCAAGTGTTATAATGAAATGTGCAAAGACTTGGAGTCAGAAAACCAAAAGGGAAGAACAAACTCAGCATTTCTCAAGCTGAAAGAACTAAAGAAAAAATTCAAGACTTGACTTGCAATATTGAAGGATTCAATATAGAAAGCATCAAAAGAAGATGGATCCCCCTCTAAGACTGAAACACAAATGGAACACACGCGCAGGCGCATAAGCTTGCTGGTGACCACATTGGTCTACTGGTGATTGGAAGTGGGAGAAAGGCAGCAATGAAGATATGGGCTGAATTCAACCACATTCTAGAGATTCTCATCAACCTAGAGATGAGAAATTAGAGAGCATGGTTGTTGTTGTTGTTAGGTGCTATCGAGTCAGTACCGACTCATAGTGACCCTATGCACAACGGAATGAAACACTGCCCGATTCTGGGCCAACCTCACAATTGTTGCCACACTTGAGCATTTGATGCTGCCATTTTTCAGTCCATCTCGCTGGGGCTCTTCCTCTCTTTCTCTGACCTTACCAAACATGATATCCTGTTTGGCCATCCTGGTCTCCAAGGAGCACTCTGGCTGCACTTTTTCCAACACAGATCTGTTGGTTCTTTAGGCAGCCCATGGCACTTTCAATATTCTCCTCCAACACCATAACTCAAGGCCTGGGGATTCCTGAGCCCATGGACAAGGATATAGACACAGAGCACTAGAGCTTTGAGTGAAACGTCCAGCTGATATGAAGTGAGGGGAGATGCACAAGAACATCCAAACTTGCAGATAGCACCCATTTGACCTAGCTTGATGATCAGAACTCAACTAGAGGAAGATTAAAACATTTTTGATAAAGAAAACAAGTGTAAATTGCTACAATCTGAAGAACTTGACCTATACTTCTGGATGTAGTAACTCAAAATACCACCTGAGCGGGAAGGAGTTTTCACATCAAGTATCAATCCTATTCACTCTGTATACAGGGTAGATAGGGAAAGGCAACGTAGACATTGGCTACTTAAAATGAGGGGGCAATAAAGGCACGAAGTGACTGGCTTACAAGTTTTCAAGAGGAAGTTTAGTTTCAGAGTGTGCAGGGGAAAGTAGAACCCCCACTGAATAGTTTTCATCTTGTCTAGATGGAGCTCTGGAAGCATAGCAGTTACAAATCGGGCTGCGAACCACAAGGTCAGAAGTTTGAAACTACCAGCTGTTCCACGGGAGAAAGATGAGGCTTTCTGCTCCTGTAAAGATTTACAGCCTCGGAAACCCTGTACAGGGTCACTATGAATTGGAACTGCCTCCGCGGCACATAACCAACCAACAAGATGGGTTTAGTGAAAGGAGATGGGGATAAGATTCTTATGATTCAGTAGTGAGTAATTGTTACCATGACTAATTGCGATTATCACAACAGTTAAGGTAGAAGTTTTGTAACAAAAAGGGGGGAGTAGTTAATCTTACTAGGACCATCAAGGGAGAAGAGCATGAGTGGAATGTAGGACTCTAGGCAGAGAAGCAGTGACACCAGAGATGGAGGCAGAGATGAGGACATGGAGAGAGAGAGCAGCTGAGGACTCTAGACTAATGGAAAGAGGAAGGCTGTGTGCTGGTGGTCACGAGGCAGGCTTGCAGAATGTACCCTTTGGATGTTTAAATGATTATATATTCCTGAATGTTTTTGTGTGCATTCCAAAAAAAAGAGAAGGAAATACTGTTGAATGATGATGCATGGAGGAGATTGTAATCATTGCAATGAGATGCAATACAATAGGATGAGTAAAACTGATGTTCTCCCATGTAAACTGTCACTCAATTCACAATAAAAACTTAAAAAAAAAAAAAAAGAAAAGTATACACAGATCACTGTACCAAAAAGAAATGGATGATGTTCAACCATTTTAAGAAGTAGCATATGATCAAAAACAAATGGTATTGAAGGAAGAAGTCCAAGCTACGCAGAAGGCATTGGTGAAAAACAAGGCTCCAGGAATCGACAAAATACAAATTGAAATATTTCAACAAACTGATGCAGCCCTGGAGGAATTCCTTTGTCTCTGACAAGAAATTCCAGTCAATCAGTTGGAAGAGATCCATATTTGTGCCCATTCCAAAGAGAGGTGACCCAATGGAATATGGAAGTCATCTAACAATATCATTAATATCACATGTAAGAAAAATTATCCAGAAGATTTTCCCAAAACAGTTACAACAGTACATTGACAGGAAATGGCCAGAGGTTCAAGCTGGATTCAGAAGAGGATGTTGAACTATGGATATCATTGCTGATGTCAGATGGATCTTGGCTGAAAGCAGAGAATATCAGAAAGATGTTTACTTGAACTTTATTGACTATGCAAAGGCTTTCAACTGTGTGGATCATAACAAACTATGGATAACATTACCAAGTATGGGTATTTCAGAACACTTAATAGTGCTAATGAGGAACTTGTACATAGAATAAGAGGCAGTTGTTTAGACAGAACTAGAGGAACTGAATGGTTTAAAATCAAGAAATGTGTGCACCAGGGTAGTATTCTTTCACCATACTTATTCAGTCTGTATGCTGAGCAAATAATCCAAGAAATTGGATTATATGAAGAAGAACATGGCATCTGGAATGGAGGAAGACTCATGAACAACCTGTGATATACAGATGACACAACCTTGCTTGCTGAAGGTGAAGAGGACTTCAAATACTTACTGATGAAGATCAAAGTCCGCAGCCTTCAGTATGGGTTGCCCCTCAATGTAAATTAAACAAAAATCCTCACAATGGAGCCAAAAAATAACATCATGATAAATGGAGAAAAGATTGAAGTTGTCAAAGACTTCATTTTGCTTGGATCCACGATCAACACTCATGGAAGCAGCAGTCAAGAAATCAATGACATCTTTATTGCATTGGGCAAATTTGCTGCAAATGATCTCTTTAAAGTGTTGAAGAGCGAGATGTCAATTTGAGGACTAAGGCGCACCTGCCCTAAACCATGGTATTTTCAATAGCCTTATATGTATGCGAAAGTTGGACAGTGAATAAAGAAGACTGGAGAAGGATTGATGCATTTAAATTATGCTGTTGGAGATGAATATTAAAACTACTATGGACTGCCAGAAGAACAAACAAATCTGTGGGAGAAGTACAGCCAGAATGCTCTTTAGAAGCCAGGATGATGAGACTTCATCTCTCATACTTCAAACATGTTATCAGTAGAGACCAGTGTCTGGAGAAGGACATCATGCTTAGCAAAGTGGAAGGTCAGCAAAAAAGAGGAAGGCCCCCAATGAGACGGCTTGGCACAGTGGAAGAAACAATAGATTGAAGCGTATTTGTGCGGATGGTGCAAGAGCGGGCAGTGTTTCATTCTGCTATACATATGGTTGCAATGAGTTGGAACTGACTCAATGGCACCTAACAGTCACAACAAGACAATCGTTGAAAATAGAAGTCAATATTGATAGCCTCCATTGAGTTACATTTTGAAATATAAGGTATGTGACTGTGAGTGCTGTCTTTTAATTGCATTTTTAAAAAATGGTTTGAAATAAGCAGAGAACGAAATTTGCCCCACATACCTGCAGATGCCAAAGAACCACTGTGGAGCCCGGAGCACAGTTTGAAAGCCTAAAGATGTTAGCAATGGAAGAGATCTCAAAGGCCATCTAAACCTGCCCTCTCTTTTCACAAACAATACATCTGAGGCCCAGAGAGGGAATGTGCCGGCCCAATGTCACACAGTTGAAGTGGGCAGCACTGGAACAAGAAACTCAATCCCAGTGCTCCAGTCACACAGCCTGGTCATGGGGTGAGACTGGAATCTTGGGAAATATATCCCGACTGTCATAGCCCTCATCCTCACCTGCCTCCTGGTTCTCACCAGCATCTCAGACTCTACACAAGACTGAACCTTGTGGGTCAGATTCAGGAGGTCTTATGATCATTTTAGAATAAGACATTTTAGTCTCATTCACATGAGACTCAGAGAGGCTGGTTTACTTGCCCAGGGTCACACAGCTTACAAAAGGTATAACTGGGAGGACTCTTGTCTTCAGACTTCAAGCCTCTCTTTGCTTCATCAGATCCTCTCTAATCCTCAATTGTTTCATCTGTTCGAGATGTCTGATGACATGCCTGATCCAGGCACTTCAGCTCCTGTGCCTCCTGGCTTTTTAGGAGAGGGCAGTGAGGGGTCAGCTGGTCTCCCTGGCTTCAAGTCCTACTCTCCCAGCTACCAGCCAGGTGATGTGCTGTCAAGGCCCTGCCCATATCCCTTGGACTTTGTCACTTCAGTATGTTCCCACCAACCTCCACATCTCTGCTCAAGGGCTTTTTCCTAAGTAGGCAGGACATTCTTCCATCCCAACAACACTCTCTACTTGGACACTCAGGAGTTGGTGTAGCATCCATCGCCCACTTGTAGTCGGCTTGAGAATGCCCTTGAAGAGAGACAGCACCTCTTCTCCCCCGTCCCACTCCCTCCTTCCCGCCTGCACCTCCCACATAAATCTCTTGTGCTCAAATCCTTGTCTTAAGGACTGCCACAGGACAAACTCAAACACACACTGGTAAGTTGTGCAACTTTTCTGTACCTGTTGTCTCACCTGTAAAATGGGGAAAACAGCAGTGCATTCTTCCTGGAGCTATGGCAAGGGGGGTCAAATAGGGTGTAGGTGCCAAGTGAAATAATAATAAGGTTCCCATGAGACACTTGTGTAGGCAGCAGGTTGAGGGGAGTCGGATTCCTAAGGGAGGAGATTAGGGAACTGTGGGGAGAGAAACATCAATCTGAGCGGGCTCCCTTGCAGATGTGTGCGGTGGTGTCCTGACGGGCCTGTCGGGGGTCCTCACCAGCCCTGAGTACCCCAGCAATTACCCCAACAATGTGGAGTGTCGCTGGGTGATCCGGGCCACTGGCCCTGCCACCATCAAGCTGGTGTTCATGGACTTCCAGGTGGAGGGAAATGCAGAGTGCACCTATGACTACGTGGCTGTGCTTGGGGGGCCAGGTCCTGCCCATGGACACCATTACTGTGGTAGCACCAGGCCCCCCACTCTTGTGTCCATGGGCCATGAGCTACAGGTGGTCTTCAAGTCTGACTTCAACATTGGAGGCCGGGGCTTCAAGGCCTACTATTTCTCAGGTAGGAGGGGCTGAACTATACCTGCAAATCCCCCTGGGCATTCGGGGGGTGGGGAGCTCCCGTCTCTCTAGTTTGCTTACAGGGGTCACCCTTTCCCACCTGGGGTGTTGTGCCCTCTCTTTATTCTCAGCCTCGAGTGCTCGAGCACATCCTACCCTGCTTGGCCAAAATCAAGACCTAAGCATGTCACCTTCTCTGTGAAGACTTTCCCAATTAACTCAGAATTCATTCCTTCTGTAGACTCCCTCTAGACGTTTGCTCTAACATTGAGTTAATGTTTACTCTACCACTGTGTATACCGTTTGCTTGTCCACTTCCGCTGCTTGATGTGAGTTCTTTATGGGCCTTTCTTTGTACCTGGCACATAGTAGGCACTCAACTAATGTTTGTAGAAATGAGTGAGACCACCTCGGGGAGTTCTGATTCTAGTGAGAGAGATGGATATGGAAACCGACAATGACAATGACAACCATCTTGGTCTGTGCTGTGTAACAGGAAGCCTCATGGTGACTTGCTGGCAGAGGAGAGAATTGAGCAGTGACTTGAAGGAGCTAGCCAGTGGCAGAAGGAAGGGGAGAGTGTGCCAAGCAGGGGAACAGAATGCACAGAAGTATGAAGGATGGCGAGGAGGGTTTGGTACTTCTAGTACCCAGTATTTGCTGAGGTTGGAATGTAGGGATGATAAAGGGCAGTGAGAAAAGGAGCAAGACTGGGTCACAGATCACCTTGTCTGCCAAGCCAGAGAGTTTGGATTCAACCCTGAGGACAGGAATTAGGTATTATTATTGAATTCTTAAGTGGCCAGCCCTCTCTGGAGACTGTCAGTTGGAATGAGCGTCCCAGTTCCCAGTTGGCTTCAGTTTAAAGCAGCCTTTGGGGTCAGTTGTCTTGTTTGGTGCAGAGGTGGCTTTAGGACCTCCTTAGCACCTGCTGCTGAACCTGTAGTGCAGAGGGTGACAGCCTGCACCTGACCACCATTCCTTCCACTCCCCTCTCCCTGCCCAGGAGAATGCCAGGAGGTATACACATCCATGCGTGGCAACTTCTCCAGCCCACGTTACCCCAGCTCCTACCCCAACAATATCCGGTGCCACTGGACCGTCCGTCTGCCTGCCGGCTACCGGATCAAGATCTTCTTCCTGGACCTGGACCTGGAGGGGCCCAACAGCCTGACCAGGACCTGTGACTTTGACCATCTGGTGGCCTTTGATGGGGCCAGTGAGGAGGCACCCCTGCTAGGAAGTTGGTGTGGCCACCGCCTGCCACCACCTGTCACCTCCAGCCTCAACCAGCTCTTGCTCCTGCTGCACACGGACCTCAGCACCACCCGCAGAGGTTTCTCTGTGGCCTACATAGGAGGTCAGCTGGGCTGGAGGGAGTGGGCACGCTGGTGGGGAAGGCCAGTCAAGGGTCCCAGATCTTTATAGGCTCCTTCCTCAGCCCACCAACTGGTCCCACCACTTCTTGGGTAGCTACAACTGCCCACAACTCCCCTGGGGTCCTCTTTTTCAGAGTCCCATTCCATGATCCTGAATTCCAGTAGTGTAAACTGTTAAGTACTTGGCTACTAACAAAGGTTAGTGGTTCACGTCCACCCAGAGGCACCTTCAAAGAAAGGCCTGGTGATCTACTTTCGGAAGGTCACAACCACCGAAACCCCATGGAACTCAGTTATCTTCTGACTCACATGAGGTTCCCATGAGTTGTAATCAATTCATTGGCAATTGGTTTTTCTGACTCTTTCCCCCATGGCATCCCTAGCAATGGTTTTATCAACAGCAACAGAAATCCTGACAGGAGCTTGAAGGAACAGTGCTTGTTTTCCTTGCATAGCAAGAACTCTTAAGCTAGGCAGCTGCTACGCTGATATCTCTGGGATTCGCTTGGTCTTCCCCTCGTGGTTGCAAGATGGCTGCCACAACTCCAGGCATCATGCTCATGTTCATTGCCGAAAGGAGAAATGCCACCTCTTCCCTCCTCCCACACCCTTCTTGGGCCCCAGGCCCAGAGATGCCTGTGCTCTGGACTAATTTCTGGCCAGATCTAAGCTCCTCGTGGGATACATGTGGAAAAGATTTGTTGTGATCATATAAGCAGTCAGTGGTATGGCCAGGACTAGAACTCACTTCCCTTCCTTTGCATTTGTCTGCCTTATCTAGGACTGCTGTTACAGAAATACTACAAGTGGATGGCTTTCTAGAACAGAAATTTCATCAGGGCGCCGGCTCTAGGGGAAGGTTCTCTGTTGGCTCTGAAAGAAAATCCTGTTTCAGCCTCTATCACCCAGCATTCCTTGGTGCTCTTCCTGTGGCATTGTTTGTGCTCCTCCTGTGTCTAATCTGCTCTTTTTATATCTCACAAGTGATTAGGTTTATGACACTTCCTACACTGAATGGCTACATTACCATAGCAAAGAACACCCTCTCCCCAAATGGCCTTACAGTCACAGGTATGTTGCTGTGATTGGATGCTATTAAGTCAAGTCAGACTCAATAGCGGCCCCATGTGATTGATTACAACTGTGCTCCATAAGGTTTTCTAGCGCTGTGGGTTAATGCACCAGGCGGCAAAGCTGTTTGAACTACAAGGTCGGTGGTTCAAGCTCACCAGCTGCTTCTCGGAAACCCTATACAGGAACCGACTCATTTAACAACAACAATGTTCATGGACTGCTGGTGTGGTGCTGTAGGACTGCTAACCCTAAGGTCAGTGGTTCAAACCCACCCACTGTTCCTTGGAAACCCTATACAGGGTCCCTACAAGTCACTTAACAACAACAAGCTCTGGTGATACAGTGGTTAAGCACTTGGCTGCTAACGGAAAGGTCAGCAGTTGGAACCCACGAGAGCCTCTCCATGGGAGAAAGGTGTGGCTGGAAGTCTGCTTCTGTAAAGGTTTCAGCCTTGGACTCCGCAGGGCCGTTTTACTCTGTCCTAGACCGTAAAGATTTACACCCTCGGAAACCCTGTACAGGGTCGCTATGGGTCGGAACCGACTCGACGGCACTTAACAACAACAACAACAAGAGCGTTGCTGTGAGCTGGACTATACACACAGTGGGAAGTGGGGTTTGTGTGGATTGCCAGGTATCTCTCCTGCAGAGCCACTAGGTAGCTTAAGCAGCCAGTGTGTGCTTAGCAGTTGAGCACTTAACTGTTGCATCATCAGGGCCCCTTTCCACAGGTATAGAGCTTAGGATTCCAACATGTATTTTGTGGGAGCACAGTACAGTACATACCATGCAGGGCCCAGGGGATGGGAGGCCAGGGCTGAGCTCAGATCAATGCTGTCATTTCCTTACTTTGACCAGCCATGGGGCTAAGGAATGTGGTGATGAACTGAGACTCCAAGGACATCTGGCTGGGGGTGGATTGTTCCCCTGAGGAGCTTCAGGTCTGTCCAGCAGCCAAAAGGTCTTTCCTCTTTCCTCATCCCACACAAGAGCTGGGCCACAGGGACGGGAAGATTAGAGCTGCAGTGAGCTACCAGTAACCAGCTACTGTCCAGTCAGAATAGAACTGGGCTCCGGAGCTTTTGGAAGTAGATCACCAGGGTATTCTCTGGGTGGACTTGAACTGCCAGCCTATTGGTTATCAGCTGAAGATGTTAAATAAAGCTAGTGGCAGAGAGGTGATGAGGTCTCAGTCAACTCCATTCACAAACTGGTGGAGGAGAGTTAGAGGACCCCAATCCATGCCCCTCTGCAGAGCACTCCCCTAATCGGACAAGAGCTCAGAAAGTCAGGCTCCCTTGGGCTAGTTGGCATGTAATTTTCTCTCTTCAAGTCTCAGTGTTTCTACCTTTGGTGCTGAAAGTCTGAATGAATTCCGGGCTCAGACTTTTCCCTAGCTCTGTGTGATGCTGGACCACCCTTATCCTTGTCTGTGTCTCTAGAGACTGGGGGTAGGACAGTTCTAACCTGGCTTCTGTGTCAGGGGCTTCAGTGTGCTAGCCTCTCCACCCCCACTGCTGCCTCCTGCCCACATCCCAGTGGGAGCCCGGGGTCAGACAGGGGCTCACTCACAGGCAAGGCTCCAGCTGCGGCTGGGCTGCAGGCGGCCTTCCCACTGGGAGGGTGGCCTCGGCATCAATCAGGGGTGACACACAGTTCAGCGCCACCGCCATCATCGTGGGAGACGGCAGGCCCATAAATCCCTGACTGCCCAGACACCAAGGGCTGAAATATGTCTGAGGCATTTCCCATAGAGGGATGGAGAGTCTCAGGGCTCTGCCTCTTGGCTCTCTCTCCTTTACCCAGTCTCTAGTCACCCCCTTTCCTCCCTATACCCCACTCCCTCCTCATACACACTGCATACACACACACACACACACACACACACACTTGTGTGCTCCCACCAGTGAGCAGCCAAACAGAGTGGAGAGACCACAGTCTTTGGAAGGTTACAGTCACAGCTTGGAGAGTAAACAATGCTGCCACCTCTCAGGGTTTCTGATTCCAGAACTGAAATGAGTTTAGTCATACCCCCCTTAAGGGATCATTGTGGGGAGGGAAAGCAAGGCTATCCCTTAGCACCCTTTTAAACATGGCGGCTCCTCCCCATCCCATCTGCTCTCCCCTGTCTTCGTTGCTTGATTTTCCTCCAGAGCACTTTCTATATTTGTTGTTATTGTTGTTAGGTACCGTCAGTCAGTTCTTACTCACAGCGACCTTATGCACAACATACATATTTTTAATAATTTATTTTATTTTGTTGTTGAGAATGTTGTTGTTGTTGTTGTTGTTAAGTGCCGTGGAGTCGGTTCCGACTCATAGCGACCCTGTACAGGGTTTCTGAGGCTGTAAATCTTAACGGGAGCAGAAAGCCTCATCTTTCTCCCGCGGAGCAGCTGGTAGTTTCGAACTGCTGACCTTGCGGTTTGCAGCCCGATTCGTAACCACTACGCTACCAGAGCTCCTTTGTTGAGAATAGACACAGCAAAACATACACCAGTTCAACAGTTTCTACATGTACAATTGAGTGACACGGATTATATTGTTTGCATTGTGTAACTATTCTTTTTCTGAGTTGTTCCTCCTCGCTTACCACAAAGTCACTGTTCCCTAAGATTCCTATCTAATTTTTCACATTGTTGTTATTCATTTGATTTCACATAGGTAGGTCTTAAAAGAACATAATGCTCAAGGCAGACCTTTTTATTAGTTAAGCTAACCTATTGTTTAGTTCAGCATGGATTAACACAGTGGTTACAATAAAGGGGTCAAATATAACAACAGTTGTGGGATGGCACAGGACTAGGCAGTGTTTCATTCTGTCATGCAGAAAGGAAGATGCTATGAGTCAGAGCCAATTTGATGGCACCTAAGGAGCTCTGGTAGTAGTATAGTGGTTATGAATCAGGCTGCTAACCTCAAGGTCAGCAGTTCGAAACTACCAGCTGTTCTGCGGGAGAAAGATGAGGCATTCTGCTCCCGTAAAGATTTACAGCCTCGGAAACCCTGTACAGGGTCGCTATGAGTCGGAACCAACTCTACGGCACATAACCACCACCAAGAACAGTAATAGCACCTAACTATACCAGCAACATTGGTTTTAAGAGGACTTCAGGGTATTTTTGGTTTAAGATTTAAAGAGTATATCAGGACAATAGTTGCTGGGGTTCATTCAGCTTCCACGACTTCAAAAATTCTGTGAGAATTTGACATTCTGTTTTGAATTTTCCCCCTTCTGATGAGAATTCTTCTATAGAATCTTTGATCAAAATGTTCAGGAATGGCCGCTAGGCACAATTCAGTTCTTCTGGTCTCATGGCAAACGAGGCCAATTAGCCACACATCCATTTCTTCCTGTAGTACCCCCTCCTCCAACGAGAATATGAATTCCCTATATTCATTGCCCCCTTCTCCAACTAGGGAGTCCTGGTGTGGCGCTGTGGGTTAACGCACCAGACTGCAAAGCTGTTTGAACTGCACGGTTGGTGGTTTAAGCTTACCAGCTGCTCCTCGGAAACCCTATACAGGGTCGCTATGGGTCAAAACCGACTCGACAGCACTTCACAACAAACTTCCAACTAGAATATGAGTTCTAGAAGGGCAGGGTGTTGGGGCTGTTCTTTTTTATTTTGTCATTTCTGTATCTGTGGCACGTAGAATAGTGCTTGTATATAGTAGGTTATCAATAAGTACTTTGTTAAATTATTGAATGAACAAATGGTTGAATGGTAAAATGATCAGCAAAGAGAGTTTTTATTGTGACTAAGGAATAGACACCTGCCAAGATCTGTGCTGGGCTCAGAGGATGCTGACTTAGGCATGGTGCCTGCCCTAGGGGAGCTCACAGTCTGATGGCGTTAAGTGGAACGACACATATAAAGTACACTGTGCATAAGACTGCATAAGAGCCTTCTACACTCGGGATCCGATTCCCCCATCCACCACCTTTAGGCCTGGGGAGAACGGAGGTGAGACTGTTTGCCTGTAGCCTCTAGCACCTCCCTCTCATCCCCAGTGGTGCCCATGAACGTGAGCTGCTCCCGCAAGTATGTCCAGATCCTGATCTCGGCGCAAACACTGGCTCCATTGGAGCGGACCAAGGTCTACCTGGGCAGCCGGAGCTGTGCTGCCCAGGAAGTCGGCAGCAACTTCAGGATCCAGGCCCGTTTTGACACCTGTGGTACTGAGTCTCAGGTACGGGGGCTGGGGAGAAGGGTCAGCCACAAGGGAGGGGCTCTGACCTCAGCTGAAAGGCAACGGCCATTGTAGAGATCTTCTCTCTTTCTGGCTCTGTGACTGTTCAAGGCTGGGTGCAGAACTTAGCCTTCCGTGGTCTCACCTCAATTCACTTGCTCAGAGTAGATGCAATGAAGAATAGAAATAGGGGACAAAGGAGAGGGGCCCCACTGCATATCCCAGCCACAACCTAAAGCCTCCTCCTGCCTATCCCTTCCCCAGCCTTGAAATTCACATCCATCTCTGAGCCTCTGAGCTAAAAAAAACAACCCAACACAAAGGGGCCTTACAAGTAAAAGGCTATATACCTCCTTCAAGGACAGCTCTGTGTGTGTGTGAGAAGAATGAATTTCTTTTACTATCCTTAGATTTTGAAGACTATGAACCCAGAGTCAGGGTCTCAGATATGTTTGTTCTCTTAAGGACAGGTCAGGAAGGGCAGTGGGAACAGAAAAAAGGAACAGTAGCCTCCGTCTGAGAGACAACCCAGCCTTGGTATCCAGGGGAATTTGCCAGACTGGTTTGGCAGAAATCACATGACTGGCAGGAGGCCCCCATCCTTAACAGTAGCCAAGTGTGCCCTTGGCCCCTCTAGTCTTTCCCTCTGCCTTCCAAAGCCTTCTTTGACCCATGAAAAGAAGAAAGTAGGGGGATTCATCCTAACCACCTACATAGTCCATGCTTACCCCACTCCACACCCAAAATCCCCCTCCCCTGCTAGAATTTTTTTTAGGATAGAACCACATTCCATAGATTCACAAAATAATGGAGACAAGGAATTCCAGAAGCAGGGAATCATGAAATCCTAGAAGCAAGAACTCACAGATTTCCAGAATCACAGAATCTCAGAATCACCATCAGAACTCAGAATCATAGACTTCTCAAATCAATGTAACTGTAACCTTGGAAACAAAGAATCTGAGAATCTTAGACTCTCAGTGTAATCCTGCTAAACTTCCATGAGGAAGTCTTTGCATAGAGTTGTTTTCAAAGCAGTGTAATGTGAGTGGTCAAAAGCAAATTTTAAAAAGTCATTCCAAACTTTTCCTACATCTCTTAAAATCATTATAGACTTGATTGTCTTTCCTTCTCTCCTCAAGCCTCTCATTCATCATCCAAACCCCTGAAATTTTCTTCCACCCCAGCCTCTGTGATGCCCCACCCTCCCTTTTATAGACATTTATTTTGTCCCATTTACTAAATCCTCTTCCACTCTCAAATCTTGTCTTTCTTTGCTCACTTATCATAAAATCCAGGTGGCAAGTTCTCAGAGGGTGGGATGGCAAATGGGCTGAGAGAAAAAATGTGGAAGGGTCTTTTGAGGAACACGGACTCAGAGCCCTTGGAAATCCAAAGTTGGAAGAGACCTAAAATGTCCCCTAATCCTCCACTCTCCTGAGTTGTGACTCCCCTTCACACTCTTAACTTAGTCACTTGGTCTCCAGTGACGGGCACTTCCTACTCCTTAAGGCTGCTGGCTCCTATAGCAGGTAGCTTCAATTTTTAAAAGCCCCATGTCACAAGTTCCATGTGCAGCTACAGATTTGTGGTGGGTGGGAAGAGTAGCCCTGCATCACTACAGCCACCCTCTCCAGACCACACCAAGTGGCCCATCATAATGCTGCTGCCCCTCACTGTCTGGCTCAGCCACTCCATAATCTCTAGGTGACTTGACTCTAGCCTCCCTCACCTGTGGAGATGTGGAGGGCAACAGTGTACCAGGTCCCCCACATCTAGCTGCTCAATTACTCTTCCCAGCCTTAGGGTGATGCTACTGGGTGACCACAGAATCAGAGGCAAGACATCTGCCCCCAACATAATTGGAAGAAAAGATTCCAGAAGGAAGATCACGCAGCACCTGCGACAGACTTTCTAAATAGGAAACAGGAGGCTTGGCATCTGGACTTAGCTCTGAACAAGTTATCAGCCTTGTGGGGCCTTCGTAGTCACAGCTGTAAAATTGCCAAGGAAGAGGGATGGAACTATAAGTTCTGGAAAGGCCTCTTTAGTTCCACATTCTTAAGCTAAGAACACAGTTAAGAGTTGGACAGATCTGGGTGAGAATATGGTTTCTGACATGTGCATGCTGTCTGACCTCAGACAAGAGATTTAACCTTTGGGCCTCAGTTTTCTCGTTTGTAAAATGGGAGTATTCATACTATCAATTAGAAAGGAATTAAATAAGATAATGCACTTAAAACACAGCGCCTGTGGAACTTGGTAGAAGTACCTTAGAGGGACACCAACAATTTTAACTCAATTACACCTAAATGTTGGTGGTTCGAACCCACCCAGAGGCACCATGGAAGAAAGGTCTAGCAATCTGCTTCTGTAAAGCTAACAGTCAAGAAAACTCTATGGAGCAGTTCTACTTTTTAACACATGAGGTTGCCGTGAGTCAGGATCAACTCGATGGCAACAGATTTGTTTTTGTTTATATTTGGTTGTTGTTGTTGTCAGGTGCCATCGAGTCGGTAGAACTTGGCAAACGTCCTCCAAATGAGAGCTTTTATTATTACTGTTACTCTATCTTTCATAGACCTCATCTTCTTGAAGCCAGAGAAAGCTTAGGCCCAGTAAATCTGATACTCTTCCTCTCTTCCTCCAGACATCTTCTTACTCTCATTAAAAATAAAAAAATAAAGTTGCTATTAAATTGGTTCTGACTCATGGTGATTCCATATGTGTCAGAGTAGAACTGCTGTATAGGTTTTTTTTGTTGTTGTTAAGTGCTGTCAAATTGGTTCTGACCCACAGCAAACCTGTATAAGGTTTCTGAGGAGCGGTTAGTAGGTTTGAACAGCCAAACTTAGTGGCTGATTTTTCAGATGTAGATAGCCAGGCCTTTCTTCTGCAGTGTTCCTGAATGGACTCAAGCCTCCAACCTTCTGATTAATAGTTGAGAACGTTAACTGCACCACCCAGAGACTCTCCTCACCTTCTTTTATAGACGGGGACACTAAGGCTCAGAATGGGAAGGGAGTCGGTGACCCAGATGGGGCAGGAAGGTTTCTGGGGCTCTGCTCCCTTAGGAAACAGGATCAGCTCAGGCCCCTCCAGGTTTGACTGAATGCTCTCGTGTGTCCACAGAGAAGGAACAACACTTCAGTAATCGTCAGCGTGCTGTACATCGACTTCTCGACCAGTGAGCAGGACGACATCCATGAGTACGAGGTCCTCTGTGAGCCACGGCGCAAGGAGGCGTCTGTCCACCTGCTGTCTGGCTCAGATTGGCTTGGGCCCTATGCTGCCACTGTGGAGCACCTTCAGGAAGCACCACCCAGGGCCGAGATGGATACACTGGAAAGCCGGGTGGCCATGGTGGCCCAGGACACCAGTGACATCATTTTCCTGGGCCTTTGCATCCTGGCTGGAGTCCTCATGGTCATTGCCATTGTGGTCCTGATGCTGCTGTGAACAAGGGCAGGATGGGGCCTTGCTAACTTGTTGGGAACCTTGGGCAAGATTAATCATGCATTTCATGTTGGAATTTTCCCTTAAATATCTTGTGATCTTTGACTGAAAAGCTGACTGAAATTCTAGGTATCTGTTTCCTCACTCTCAGATGAGCTCTTTGGAGCCCTCTGTGCCTTCTCCTGCCATTCACTCTGAGCTTCTCCAAACCACCTCCATCTTTCTAAAGTTCCTCACAGGAGCAGGCTGGAGATCATAACTCTTCCCAATGAGAAGAACTCTGGGATCTTCTTGTCAATTGGTCCACCGTTTCCCAGAGCACTGCATATATATCAAGGAGTGAGGCAATCTTGCTCATAAAAAATAAACACAACTTCAAAATTAATGGATAATATGCTACTTATTTCCCTGTTTCCCTATATATTTATATAATGAATCACTCAAGTGAGTCCTTGCATAATTACAGAAATTACCAAATTGACCCTGCTGACCATGGGTATCAATTAAGGAAAATTGTAGTTCAATTACAATTCATTCAACAACCCAACAAAGCTTCACTGATTTCCATCTCTATGACAGGTGTTGTGCCAGGCTCTAGGCATAAGTCATAAATCAGATGAGGTTCCTGCTCTCACGATGCTTACAGTCTGGTATAGTGTAACTAGGCAGGGAGAAAGCGCAGCTGAACTGGTAACTTTGAGAAAGCTAAAGGGAGAAGAATCAACAAAGTAAGAAACAAAACTGAAGTAAGGGATGAACAATTGCCTGGACATTAGGAGACTTGGGTTCAAACCCTGTTGTTCAGTGCTGCCTAATTGGTTCTGACTCATAGCGATCCTGTATAAGGTTTCCAAGGAGCAGTTGATGGGCTTGAACCACACTGACTTTGTGGTTAGCAGTCCAGTTGTTATCCTACAGCACCACACCTGGACTCCTTAGTATCGTCTTATTCATTGTGTGAGTCTGGGCAAGTCACTTTGATTCCCTGAGGCTTGATTGCTCCATCTACAAAATGGGAGTTTTCTGTGAGGATGTAGCAGCATAACAGATTAGGGAAGTCTGTCAGGGTAGATAGCGCCAAGAGAGAATCTTGATCGCCACCCTGGGGTGTTTGGGGCAGAGATTCCTTCTTTCTCTTCTACCCATGTTCTCACCCTCAGACTCCCTCATCCACTGAGGTAGCCTGCTTTGTGAACACCTCATGAATCCCCTGGGTCTCAGCTTCCCTGTCTGTGGAGGGCCCCTCTGGGTTTCTTTCCTCCAGGACCCATGGACTGCACTGTGGGGTGAAGCTAGTAGAACCTGCAACAGGTGAACCCAAGCCAAGCCTTGTCCCTGTGAGCTCATCAGAGTGAAGGAGACTATAGACTAGCTTGGGTCAAGTCTAACCCTCAAAACTCTGTATGATTGTGTGTGTGCCCACATGCACCCTGTGGAAAAATTGGGGTCCTCAATGTCTACTCCCAAAGCTTACTACACAGAGCCTCTAACACCAAACCGGAGCGCTACGATTACTAGTGTGTAATCTGAGGAGTCCTGGTGTGGCGCTGTAGGATAAACACTGGACCACAAGGTCGGTGGTTCAAATTTACCAGCCACTCCTCGGAAACCTTGTACAGGGTCACTGTAAGTCAGAAACGACTCAACGACATTTAACAACAACAACAGTCTTAAGCAAGTTTCATCTTTCTAAACTCGTAAGGAGAATAATAGCACTGATTTCACTTGCTGGCTGTAGACATTAAATGGGCTAATTGTGAGTGACCAGCACATAGGAAGAACTCAATAATATGTAACTTACCACTGACCCATGAGTCTACATAAAAGGCCTGGGGCCTGCTTTGTCACTGACATGCTATCTGACCTGGGGGAGCCCATTCCCTTCTCTGGCCTCAGTTTCCCCATCTACAAAGTATAGCAAGCATAATGGACACCCACAACACCATGACTGGCATAGCTACGATCTGCTAAGCACCAACTATGTGGCAGGTGTTTAAAATGTGTCACCTCACTTAAGCTAATCTATGAGGTAAGGGTAATTGCCCCCACTTTACAGATGAGGCAACTGAGGCTTGAGGAGGGAAAGTGCCATGCCCAAGGTCACATGGCTATGAAAATTTGAAGTTAGGTTGAGAGGGGACAGTTTTTCCCTGTACAGGGAGCTGGGTCTCTTTGGATCCCAGGTTAATGGCCTTAAACCCAAAGGCTGTGTCTGGCTGGAAAGGACTGGTGTAGTAGTAGGCACAAGGATGGTTTTTATCTTCAGAGACATGCCTAGATCCTGCCGTTCCCAGCCCTCCTGGCAGCCAGCACGTTGATTATCCTGCGTGAGCCGCAGGAAATGACAGTCTTTATGACAGCACAGTGTCTATTAGAAATGAGAGGGCTGAAATGATACCTATTAGCCGGCTTGCCCTGGCCCTGGAAGTGTTGGGGCATGGCGGGCATGGTACAGCTTGCCTGCTCACCTAGCAACCTCCCCTGTGTAGAGAGCAGGAGCTGTGGTAAAAGCCTGGTTTGAATCCCAGCTCCTTCCCCTTGGGACGCACCTACCCCAGGGTGGGAGCTGTGGGGCCTGCTGCCAGCCTGTCCCTGTAGGATGTCACTGAGGAGAGCTGCAGATCAGGTAGATCCGGGTTCACTTTTTAATACTTCTCTGATTCATTATGATCTTGGGAAGACTGCTGAACCTGAGACTTGATTTCTTCATCTGTGCAAGGAGGTAAAACACCCTCCTTACAAGGTTACTGTGAGGATGAAGTGAGAAAATACAGTGAGATGCCTCAGCCCATGTCCCCACTGCGATGGCTTCAGTAAGAAGGTGCCTGTTGAGTCTGGTCCAGACAATGGCTTCCCTGAGGCGTTCTCAAAGCTTGGACTTGGAAGGGGTCTTATAAGAAAGCAAGGTTCGAACCTCATCTCCTATGGGACTCCCCTTCACTCAGCCTACTCTGGCCCCTCAGCCTCCCTGCTGTTCCCCAAATAAACCAAGATCATTCCCAGCAGTCTCCTGATCAGTTTCCTGATCTCTCTTTTTAGAATGCCCTTCCAGCAGGGCACCATTCACATCTCTGTCCAAAGACCCTGACCACTTACCTAAAATAGCATCTCCCATCACTTTGTAGCCCTTAACCTTGCTTTGATAGAACACACCGCCACCTGAAATGAAATGACTGGTCTGCTTATTTAGCTTATTTATTGCCTGACTCCTCTCTCTGCAGAGTCAGCTCCATGAAGTCAGCTCACAGATTGTTCACCACTTCAAGAATCTGGCACACAGTGGGCATTCAATAAGTATTTGTGAATGAAAGATTGAAGGAACAGATGAGTACCACACAGGAATGCAGAATTATCAATACATTTCTCACGTGTCTTCTCTGTGTCCACCCTCTGACTGATGTACACACGGGCTTAGACATGGTCCCTGTCCTCGAGGAGTTCACCGACCAAGAGAGGAGAGAGACATGGATGAAACCACCTGTTAGAAACCCTTTCAGTCAGGACCAGCAGCAGCCAGGAGATGGCCCACTGAGATGAGGAGTTTGAAGAAAGTTTAGCAGAACACTGTTTGCAAAGGCTTGACAGGATGTAGAGAAACCACACGGGAGAGTTCACCACCAGGGGCTAGTGACAGTGGTGAGTCGTTAGGCCTGAGGGAAAGGAAAGAGTACTGTCCCTGGAGTGACCCTCTGCAGAGAGCCTGACCACCCTCCAGTCTCCTGAGGGGGCTCCTCACTGGCAGAGCCCAGTCCCAGAGACAGCCTTCCCAGGATGCAGAGCAGCAAGGAACAGTGACTCTTGCAAGAGCAAGTGGAGCCGAGCACAGAAATAAACAAAGCATTGCCCTCTTACAGATGTTTTACAACAAGACAGAGTTGAGAAGCCCTGGTGGTGCAGTGGGTTAGGCACTGGGCTGCTGACTACAAGGTCAGATGTTCAAACCCACCAGCTGCTCTTCTGGAGAAAGACGAGACTGTCTACTCCAGTAAAGATTTGCAGTCTGGGAAACTTATATAGGGGTCACTATGAGTTGATATTTGTGGGTTTGGGTTAGAGGAGCACAGAAGGAAGACTGGAAGATTCAACAGGCGGTGGATAGGGAATGGCATCCAGGCGGGGGGAACAGCATCTGCTAATGCAAAAAGGCATGGAAGAGTATGTGACTAGGGCGTGGGAAGAAGCTGGTATGGGGGGCTGGGAGGTATGTGGGGTGACTGCAGAGGCATGCCGGGTGGTGTTATTGAAGACTCCCGACTCACACTTGCTGCTCCTCTCAGAAGAGCTGTCAGACAGCCCCTCTGTGTCCTTGACCTTAGAATGGAAGCAACCCCTGGGGCAACGGAGGCAGTGAATGACCCTTTGCTGTCATTGATGTCCTCTCCTGGGATATGGTCCATGTGTAGGAAGGTTCTGCATCTGCTGGCACCAAGAAGTTTGGAAGCCACCCCCTTCCTGAGTAACCTTCATCTATCACTGCACTTCTCTGGGCCTCCTTCAAGAGGCATTACCACAGAACACATCATGAGCCAAGACCCGGCTGAGGTTCCAGAGAGGAATGAGGCATACGTAGATGGTATTAAGGGTTAGAAGTGGGCTTCCTGGCTTGGCTCTGCCCCTCACTGCTCATGGAAGATCAGACAGATTGCATTACCTCGCCAAGCATCAGTTTCTTCATCTATAAATTAGAACGAATAATGGGAGCATTGGATTGGAATTTATTGTATGCCAGACATTTTTCTAGATTTATTTTGCATTTCTTTTTTCATGTAATCCTCTAACCACTAACAACAACCGTCTTCTCTAAAAAAAATGGTAGAGTTAAGATTCAGACCTAGGCAGTAGGTCAGCAGAGCCCAGACCTTAACTATTATAATAGAGCATTTCAAGGTGAGGAGGGTCAATGAGGAGTCTAATGTTGCAGTGAGTTAAGTGTTGGACTGCAATATCATCAGGAGAAAGATGAGACTGTCTCAAAAATACTATGGAGCAGTTCTACTACTTTC